TGCTACAAGTAAATAAAGGCAGTCCTTCAAGTTGCTGAGGCGGACCTTCATGTTGTTGAACAACAGGAAACAGAGATGTTTCCATGGATGATCTAACTTCACAACCAGAACTCCCACAAAGCCGATGGCCACTCCATGTTCCATACCCAGTTTAAACCATTGCCAGAATTCAGCTATGTCTCTGTTTTTTGGTTTGTCCTCTGATTTTTCATCATCTGGGTAAGTTGGTGTTAGAGGAAGCCCACAGAGTGCAGGATTACCGACAAATGAATAAGCATCAAAGGACTGCATCTGGGTTGATAATGGGATTCTCCCTGAAAAGTTGTTGTATGACAGATTCAAAATGCTGAGGAAATTTAATTGGGACATGCTCCCTGGAAGATGACCTGAAAGCTGGTTCAGTGACAGATCGAGTGATTCTAATTGTCTCATCTGCCCTATATCTGAAGGAATACTTCCTGTCAACTGATTTCTCGATAAGTTCAATTCAACTAGTTCGAAGAGAACTGATATATGGACTGGAATCACTCCGGTTAAGTTGTTGCTTGAAAGATCAATAATCTTCAAAGTCTTGAGATTTCCATTCTCATAATCACGCTCCATTCCTTTCCACATTACAGATGCTTTGTCAGCATAGCTTCCACTGTACTCGGAATTAGCATCACGATGTGAATCTGTAAAATAATGATCATGGGCTGAACTCTTCTGTTGAGCTAATGTAGTCAGATTATGGATGCATGATGGTATGTTTCCAGATAGATTGTTGTTGGAGAGGTCTAGCAGCGTAAGATTTGTCAACCAGCATAGCTGCAAGGGAATGTCTCCACTGAAATGATTGGATCTCAAATGAAGGAAAATTAGTGAACTTAGCCTTTCTCCAATCCAAGTTGGTATTTTTCCAGAGAAGCTATTACAATTCAAGTCCAAAAATTGCAAGGCACTGCAATTTCCTAGAGACCGAGGTATTTCTCCAGAGAAACTGTTGTTTTGCAAACCCAACGATTCAAGATGATACAACGATCCAATAGAGCTTGGAATTTTCCCAAATAAATGATTATTAGCCAAATTCAGAATCACTAGACTTGTCCATTGCATCATGCAATCAGGAAGCTTTCCGAATAGTTGATTGTGCGAAACATCAAGGAACTGAAGTTTCCCACCACTTATAGTACAGAGAGAGGAAATTGAACCATTGAACCTATTTTTTGACAGGCTTATGGATGTGACATTAACAGGGAATACTGGTAATGGACCCTCCAACTTATTTTCACTCAAATCTATCCCAAGGCCAAAAGAATTAGAAATTTGTGTTGACAAATCTGGCAAAATTCCATAGATATGGTTGGAAGAAAGATTCAGATGACATACTCTAGAAGATAGGTTCCAAAACCACTTTGGGATGCTATCTGAAATCTCACTTCCAGAGATATCAAGGTAAGAAAAATTTCTCTGGGACTTTAACCAGCTCGGAAACTTTGGGCCTAACTTGCACAACCTAAGAACCATCCACTCCAATTGGAATGGAGGAATCCAGTCATTGCTAAAGTTGATGCTCAAAGAATTAGAAGACATGCTCAACCCCCGTAACTTAGATAGTGTTGAAAAGTGTGATTCTCTAATAGTCCCATTCAAAGAATTGGAAGAAATATAAATCTCCACAAGGTTTGACAGTAGTCTAATACTTTTGGGTATAGCACCGCTTAGTTGAGTCTTGAAAAGTCCCAGCACTCTCAATGAGCGGAAGTTTTTTATCATATCAGGCAAGGGTCCCCTAATTTTATTTTTACCCAAATACAATTCTTCCAAGGAGAGTTGTAGACATCCAGATAAGTTACCAATGAGTTCAAGAAGGATTCCATCAAGATAGTTATCATATAGGTATAGGTACCTTAATTTGCACAGGTTCCCAAAGGATTTTGGAATCCCCCCTTCCAATTGATTATTCGAGAACAATAGCTCCTCTAGGAGAGTCATGCAACTAAAAGTTTCTGGAATTGGACCTCGAAATTGATTAGAACTCAAGTCGAGACTAACAAGGCTGTTGCTAAAGTTGAACAACCATTGGAATGTGGAAGCAGTCAAATTGTTGCTTCCTAGATCAAGGTGAACGACAGAAGTACTAGAAGTGTTAATTATGGGGAAATACTGGGGAATGACATCTCGAAGATTACATCCATCTAGAGACAGGTTAGTTAGATGAGGGAGCTTATTAATTACTTGCAGCCAGTCATTGTTGACCTTACTAAGGTCATTTCCACCCAGACGAAGGTACTGCAAGTATGAAAGATGATAGAGCCACACAAGACTTTGGATGTTGAATTTGTTATAGCTAAGATCAAGATATTGCAGATTTGTGAGGTTTGCAAGCTGACTAGGAAGAGATCCACTTAGATTACAATAATAGAGATCAAGATGTTGCATTTTGTTGAGTGAACCAATAGACTCTGGAATGTGGCTTAAGTTGAAATTATTCCCACTGAGGCCTAAAAAAATCAAATGCTGCAACTTAAAGAGAGAAGGACTAAGGTTACCTCTTAAGATAAAATGACGGTCATACAAATATGTGGTTAGATTAAGCATAGTGATGTGCCCAGTTGTGTTGCTACATTGAACTCCTTCCCATTCACAGCAATTCTTTTTCTCTTCTTCACTGCCCCATGAGGAAAGCCTCCCATGTTCATCAACCAGACCTTGCTTAAATGCGAGGAGAGCTTGTCTTTCGCTCTTTATGCACTTAACTCCATCATCAGTTGTTGTTGAATTGGATCCAATTGAAGTTTGCATATGTAGTAAAACCAGGAGTGCATAGATAAGATGAAGGGACCCTGCACCCAGAATCTTCATTTTGA